AAGCTCATGATTGTATTAATAATATTTTACAAAAAAGTGAGGTACACACTATTTAAATTCATGTGTCCCAGGGGTAGAGATCTCAGTGGTGGCGAGGGGCAGCTGCTTCCCCCTTTTTTGTAAAATCGCTGATTTTGTTGGAAATTTGAAAACAACTGAATGTTCTGAAATTCATAAAAATAATGCTGGAGCAGTGGAGAGTGAATAATGCCACTTGGCAATTCATGCATAAACCTGATTTTTTTTAATCTATTTTCTTTGTATGTGCTGTTAGTTGCCAGAAATCCATGACTGTCTCCATCGATTCTAATATTCAAATTAAAAACCCCAAAAAATTGTCGAAAAATTTCAACGCTTTGAACCTCTCCTGCCTCCAAAAACTGAGTTTCCAAAACTGTTGAGAAACATCACACTTCACGCGGCGTCTCTTCATCCGCTAATCTATTTTCAATATCAAAAATGTGGACAAAAACAAAACCTTGTTCATCGCCAGTCTCCTGTACGGGCAATGCCATATTTGTTTCGTAAATCTCGTCGGAAGATGGAGTGATTGGTGACTCCGAATAGATCTCAGTGAACTCATCGCCAGTGATGTTGGTCAAGTCATTATCATATGGGTTCACATATGATGATTGGGACTGGGGTTGAGTGGACTCAAAAAGAGACAACTCGTCTTCTTCAAGATTACTATTGTCAATTATCATTGCTCTCTACATTGAAAAAGTTTGAGTGGTTAAGTTAAAAATATAGAAAATATAGAAAAATAAAAACTGTTAAATTGCCAATAACTAGTAAACCAGCATTATTGTTTGTTAACAATTCTGTTTGTTTAGTTTTCTTAAAAAATTTAGAAAAATAATTTGCATGAAATCATTAAGTCATATTTCCCTGGATATATATTCGGGGTTTTTTTTACGTACATTGGTATCATACTTTGTTATCGCTATCAGGAAAAAATATTCCTTAACTTGAATCATAAATTAATATAGAAAAAAGATTACTTCTATTTCTATCATTATATACTGTTAAATTCTACCAGTCCTGTTCAAGCGAATGCCACGATACTGAATCTGTACTGAATACATGATTCATCCGTATCGGATCCGCAAATCGCTATCAAGCAATGAATCCAAATAGATCGAGAAAAAAATTTACATGTATTCAATTTCATTTCTTCCCAGCTATGATTTCGTCATTTCCCCTCAAACAATTCGCGCTCTTTCCTAACATGCTTTCATAATTACATGGCGGCAAACAAAAGGTCGACAGTCGAAATGTTTGTGTATTTTGTGTAATGTGATTGAACTGTTACCGTAGTGAATAATGTTTGATTTAAATTGTGTACATGGAACAGACTGGGCCAATGCTCAATCGAAATTTGAGCGAACTGGAAGAATCTGTTTGTATGTCCAATGCTACCAGAGGCAGAGCGTGCCGCGTGGATGACATACACTGGACTAATCTTCCCCTAATCCCGTTGTACATGGAAACTGCTAATATAATGGAAAAAATAACAGCGAAGGTAAAATATTTGCGTTTAAAGCATTGAATGATTGTGGACAGTTGAAAGAGTTGATGGTTTCAAAGTTGTCGTGAAATTCTTTATCTTTGTGGTGAAATTTGAGCTCCTTATCATGTGTCAACTACAATAGAAGGTATGCAGATATTATTCAAAATAAGTAGGTGGTACAATGAAATAAGCCACAAATCTGCTCAAGAGGTGGACAAGTCTGTTTGGCTGATATGTGACATGGATGGATTTACATGGGGGTGCATGGGGTACTACACCCCAAACACTAGATTTCACCCTCTAACTAACCTACCACCAGTTCAACGAATGTCAATTACTGAATACTAAATCTAATGAGTCCAAAGCAGTAGTTCATCACGTTGTTGCTGGTAAAGTGAATGGGTATAAATGTCGTGCTCTAATTGATACGGGTGTGGGAAGCTCTTACGCCTCCTCAAAACGTTACTCGACATTCTTAAGCAACAACTTAATAATAGGGAAATCCGATCTGATGCGAATTTATTGGTACAAATATATATAAAAAAGATAACCCTGCGTTTCAGAACAGCTCTGTTTGGCGTGTCTCCTTTCCCGTTCCTTTTGGTGGGAGTAATCAAACAACACTTAGACAACTACAAACAGAACAACCCCGACATTTTAAAAGAGATTAGAGACAGCTATATGTTGAGGATTTATTCAGCGGGGGAGAAACCATTTTACGTACAAATGAAGAAATTAATCTTCGCAGACGAGCAGTATACCTTGCACAAGTAGCACTCCAACGTACCTGAACTGGAATCGGTACAACCGCAAGAATCTTCGACGGATGAGACTACATATGCAAAGCAACAATTGAGAGTTAAGACAGGCGAAGAAACAATTCCTGGGCTATCATGGACAAAAAGAAAGATCTTATCAAAGTTCAGATACCTACGGACATGTCTCACAACACGAAGCATGAGGGGTTAGCTAAGACAGCGAAGATTTATGACCCACAGAGTTTAATGTCTTCCTTGACGTTGTTGGCCAAGCTCCACCATCGAGACTGCTGTGATGCCAAGCTATCGTGGGACGAGGAATTACCACAACAAATCAAAGATAAATGGTCTTCCTGGGAAATTTATTTTCCACAATCTATCAAACTTCCACGAAGTATCGTGTGTTTCCCGGAAATCATCCAAAAAATCGAGCTGCATACCTCTGCTGATGCTAGCAGTTATGGAGTTGGGGCAATAGTGATGGTCATTGTCCATCAAGTGAGTGGTACGTGCAAGGGCCTGATGGCTGCCAAATCTCGTCTTTCTAAGTATCTGACAATACCACGCTTAAAACCTATATCTGCACATAAGGTAACCAATCTTTTTTAAATTATCAAGAAGTGTTGGACGGATTCCAAATTGGCATTGTTTTTGCATTGCTAGACAGCGCAGTAGCTCTCCATTAGGTACGGAATGGTGGAAGTGAGGATCTAAAGCGATTCGTAAGGAATCGGGTAAGGAAGATATAGGAAAAGAACTACATCCAGTGGAGACATATTGCTGGACAAGATAAGTGAGTAAAGGAAACGAACGGTGGTGAATGAGACCAAAGTGGTTGACAACGAAAGAATATTGGCTAGAGGACATCACAACAAAGCAACGGACGAAAGTCCGGCGGAAACAAAACCTGTAACACAAATAGTTAAAACTGCAACCTTTCTACATGACAAATTCGATGAATTGCTGAACAAATACGATCTCTGGAAAACCTTGTGGATGGATGTCAAGATTTATCCAGAACAGTAGAAAACAAGGACAAAGGAAGAGTGTCCATTGACAACAAAGGAAATCAACAATTGGAGAAAATGGTGGAAAAAATTAGTCCAAGCCCGAAATCTAGACATGTGCACTGCAAAATTTTGTAAAGATCAGGAGAAGCTGCATCAGGAGAGGCTTGAAGAAAATTTTGTAAAGTTCATGAGAGGCGTGAAGTGCTATGGACGAATCCAAGGAGATTAACCAATTTACTTGCCCAAAAGTGATCTGTTTACAAAAAAAAACTTTTTGCATTCCCAATATCTCACCCTTCATGGTGAAGCAAGTTTAACAATAGGCGAATGTACGTAAAAGTTACTGGGCTCCAAGATTAAAAAAAGTTGTGAAACGAGTCATAAAGCGTTGTCACGAATTTAAAACAATTCAAGCCATTCCTTACGCAAACACTGTCCCAGAAAATCTACCTAGAGACCGTACTGATTGGCGTTTACTTTTCCAAGTAATTGGTGCATGTGAACTACGGTGGCCCGATAAAGTATCGTAAAAGAAAAAATACTGAAGGAAAAGCCTAGATTGTAGTGTATATATGTGAAGTCACGAGAGCATTTCATCTGGAATTAATAAAGTCTAGGGACATTCTATATTTTCGCTCAACTTTCAAACAGTTAATTGCGCGAAAAGGTCGACGAATGAGTGTAAAGTTTCCTGTTGGGTGTCAGTAATAGTATAAACAATCTGGGGAGTGTCTAGCATCAACGCTCATTTTATGTTTCACTATCTTTTACAGATTTGTTATCAGTACTAAGAAATACCTAAATGCGCACGCACAAACTTTCTGTGAACTGTAAAGGCTTACAACAGTATAAAGAAATTGCTACAAACAAGAATTGTTGTAGAAAGTTCATTAATCCAAAAAAATTGCGATTTTACTTGAACGTATTTCGTTAGTGCTTGCACAATGTTAACATTCTGAAGTTTTTGTCAGGCTCAAGTTTAGAATGTTATCAACTCTGGACCAGCTACACTCATATTTTACAAAATGGTGAGTTGATCTTGGACATAGAACAGTGAAATTGAAACTTTGCGTAAATATATGCCTTTGTATGAAACAATAAAATTTGCATTTATAATGTTTTGCTTTTGACTGAAAATTGATCAATACATTGTATACACAGACTACAGCTGACACAACACAGATGTGACAGTACTATTTATAGCTATGCTTTTAAAGGTGGTCATCCCTCTTTTATGGGTTTTTTCACAATTTCCATGAAATAAATTGAACTTTGCCATCTTCTCCAAGGAAATGACAAGACCGAGAAAAAATTGACAATAAAAGTTTTCATATTCTCATTTTAAAATTACACTAATATTCATGACGGCCTGCTAATTAGCACTAACGTGTGACATAGGTATCGAAAAACCTAGCATAGGTTTTGAAAGGCCCAGCACAGATATTGAAAAACATTTGCTATGACAAACCCTAAAACATTCTCGTTTTTCATATGCATTGTAAAAATGTAGTAAAGTAATTCGTTCTTTTTGCGTACTATTTTTTTCGTGTTTTACTATTTACATATGAGATATTTTAATGAACGGTTTGGTGAAAGTGTTTGAGTTAACGGTTGGTCATATTGTGTTGAGAGATACCCAAAGTATAGGACCTTTGACTATACATACGTGGAAGTCACGCGAGCTTGCGCGCATAACACACATTGCAAATAATTAAGGAAGCTGCAGCCTGCTGTGAGAAATACTTAAAATTCTTTATGTTATCAAATATTATCCACGTCAACGAAAGTTGGAGATATTTTTCTGGCAATTTATGATCATGATATCAAGAAGTATTCCTTCCACCTAATGAAACGGTAAGATAAAGATCTTATACCTTAGATGGTGACTGGAATTAATTTTAATTTACGTATCTATCTAAGTAGAACAAAGACAGTTTTTCATTTAAATTGATTTAATGTAGGTATGGTTCGACCTTAAAGCTAGGTTGCTTTTTTATTTTTGATAAGCATTTAAACATGGTTATTGTCAAACCATAAAATACAACAAACATAAACGAGATATTCAAGTTAGATTTCAAACATTGTATAGGGAATGAATATAATTGAAGCAGAACATTATATCACTGTGTTTAACATGATTTGTTCTTGTTCGAAAGTTATTTTTGTCATCGTTTAATCTTAAAATGATCGTTGTAGAGGGTTTTCATCACTTAGTTATGTACATCAACATATTTTGAACTTTTGATATGATAAAACTTGTTTTGTTGATATGTGTTGATTTGCTACTGAAATAACATACTAAAGTCAATATTTTATAAGTGATCTTCATCTTTTATAATTGATCAATGATTGTGGACAATGTGTGGTCGCTAAGTATATTTTTGTTACAAAATTTTTCTATTTACTTGGATTCATTCATGTACAAGAAGATCAATAATTGTTGGGGGGGGGGCTCATATTAATTTATGTATATGATATGTTTTTATTCTTCAGTTGCTAGCTATTTTATGTAGTTTGCCTATTTTTTTTTTTAGAATAATAATTTAACCAATGAAAAATGGTTTTGGTCATAGGCGTACAGATTCTTACATCTTTTACACAATTTTGAGTCAACTCTCATAAAAATTATGCCCACCAATTTTTCATTGGTTTTCTTATTACAATGTTTTGTTGACTATTTTTATTGCTTTCATTACTTTTGTTGACCTCTTGACACACTCCCTTTTTTAGCAAGAAAATTTGTGGCAGGACTGTAGGATGATTGTTAATTTAGAGAATAAATTAAGTGTTCATAATATAGGCTACATGTGTTAAGATCCTTTGAAGACCATTGTTGTCTAGGGATCATTACATCCAAATGTTTATGCCACCCCAACCACAGTATAGAGAATATACAGTAGGATCACTTTCTGTGCAACTTACTGCTGTATATATAATTACATTACTGGGTGTAGTTTGCCAGCTCAGTGCACCTATTGGTCAAAACATGGCAGTGTCTGACTGCCACTATGGTAATCCCTTGTGGAATAAGATATGCATTGCACAAAAATATTCAATACAATCTACTGTATGTTCTCTATAAAATTATACTATGTGTTCCTATAACTGTGTCCCAATTACATTATGTCTTCCTCAGGTCCTAAGTCTTAAATGAAGTATTAGTCCAAATAAATTACACCTGCTCATTTTTTTCATTATAATACCTTCTAAACAATGATAATGGTTACTAATTTTTAAAGAATAAAATTTTCAATGCGTAGCCAGACTGATAAAAAGTTTAGTCCTTCTAAGTACGTTTTTATATATTCTTTTACTGTGAAAATAATAGGCATTTTACCTTTTGAGTCTTAAAGTGTCCCTTCCATCAAAAATATTTTTTAGCTATATCAAATCTGTCGATGATTTTAAGCCTCGTTGAGGAAAAAATTTCGAATTTGGTCAAGTCATTGATTTTTGTAAAAGCGTTAATTCACTAAAATCGTATATTCTTGTGAACCATGTCCGTGATAATGAGGAGTCTGAAACTAGCTAATTTTCTGACGTCATCCAAGGTACTCATGTTACACGAGTCGTGTATTCAATTGCTATCAAGTCAATGCTGGCTGAGGCACATTTTAAGTTTGTAAGGGCCTAAAAGCATTGCCTTTGCACTAGTAAAAGCAGAAAAAAGGTAAATAGTTGCGTTGCAGCCAATTGTACGAATGAGTCAAACCTTTGCTCTCGTATGAGTCTTCACACTATGTTTTATAATGATAAAAGACACGAGGCCAAGCGAAGACGGAATGTCTGGGTTCTAAAGCAAAGCGCGTATTTCAGCCTTCCAGTGCTTCAACACTTTGTTCGGCTCGATTAAAATCAGAGGATTTGGAGTGTCAATTTACTAGTTTGCCGAATCAAACGAACGCTAATTTTCCAGGGCTTAAAAAGATGAGATTAGAATTTGTGTCTTTCCGACCATCCAGGCTTTGGAGTCAAAATCCGAATCATTATCGCTCAAGTTTTATTGCTTTCCGAGTTTTCTGTCACGTATCAAGGAGTAAAGTTTTTGTCAGAATTATCTGACTGAATACTCAATTCTGATTTTGATTCATCGCTTTCTTCGCAAGACATAATTTTCTCGAATATTGTAGTAAAACAGCGTGAAAGAACGTATATGTTTAATATAAGCTAAATATGCCCGAATGCTGACTATGTTAGAAAACGTCAAATTAATTTCTAGTGCCAGTCTCTTTTGTAGTATAGAGAACGACGGCGTTGGGCCAAAAACCCACAACTTCAAGATTCCATAAAAGCTTGTTGATTTGACCAAATTTCTGAAATTTTTCCTCAAAAAGTCTTAAAATCATAGACGTATTTCATTTTGCTAAAAATGTTGTGGTAGCAATACTTAAAAAGTGTTCGAGTGAGGCAGTGTCTGTCTGTCTCTCGTGATATCTTCGGCTGTGTCCTCGTTAATAGTCGCATATGCGAACAATAACGAAGAGTATTGTTTTGTCTAGTACAGTCAATGCTTGGAGCTTGATAGCTACACTGTGCAGTCTGTGCTTGTATTTTGATAGATATTTTTATCGTACATCACGTTGTTTATCTCTCACCCTGTGTTCTGTTTTTTGGTGAGGAAAATGTAAAGCAGACAGGATATAGTTTTCTTTATATTTATTTCACTTAGTAATGACGATGATTTGGATTTAACAGAATTTAAATATATTATGTCCCTATGAAAAATAACTACATCAGCAATGATATATGTACCATGTGCAATGCCTCCTCATTTTAACAATAAACATAAAAATTTAAATTGCAACAGAATCATCGGCAACATAGTCCTATCAATAAGCAGATATTCGTACAACACAACAAACCGATTTGATATATCTTTTCACCACACCATTGTTAGACAAATAAGATATAATATTCATTTAAAAAAAATCGTTTTAATTCAAAATGGCGAAGAACTTATTGATCTATCATTAAAATTTATGAGATTTATAAGGACATGGCAGTTATATTGTTTTTTGCAAGCTTCCTTTGCACGATATTAGCACGTAAACACCAGCACACAACATGCGCTGAGCGTTGGAGAGCAATAAAAAGGAAAGATAATAATATTGGGCATTTCTATTAAACATTGAGCACAGAGAACGTTTTGTACCAAAGAGAAGTGCCAAAGACATGAAAATATTTTTTGTTATTTTTCATATCTTATTATTACGGAATGATCTTGGGACTTGACCTTGGGAATGGCTTTAGGACTTCACTTAATTTAATGAAAAATACAACACTAAGCAGTTTGACTACTGACTACTGTTTGTTCCATGTACTGTAACTCTGGTCAAGGCTACCGACATGTACACACTTGTACCTATTTTTATGTACCTTGTACATCTGGAGACGGTTGCACGAAGCCTGGATAGCATTATTCGTCGGATAGTAAAATTTTCAAACGTGTAGAAAAAGGTGTTTATATTTTCCTTAGGGGAAAGAAATTTTGTAATCTTTGAAACAATATTTTATTTCAATGATTGCTCAGTTCAAATCACATATTCCATTTTAAGAGGTTTTGTAAAAGTTCAAAACAATTTGCCATCTAGTGGATAAATCTATTCTGCCTTCGTGTAACCGGCCACAGGTTTTCCTTTATAATCACAATGAATTTGTACCATGGACGTCTTACCTAGTTTTTATTCTGCAGGGAACAACATGGGGTCAGTCTTAAGCAGAAACAAGAAAACTAAGGGTTTTAAGTTGATGAGATTGATTGTTGATGTTGGAGGAGAAGCTTTAAGAATTACATTGAGGAAACAACTGTCAGGTACTGATTTATTTAATGTTTTAAATAAGAAAGAAAATTATAATAAGCTTTTGTTGCTAAAAGATAAGCAAATAAAGGAACATCAATGGGATCTACTGTATCCTCCTCCTCCAATATTACCAAATGAAAATAAGTTTGACATTACTTTACTTTGTATTCTCCTGCGTAATATTTGTGGTTTAAAACCACCTCGTGATCCAATATGGACGTCAGTAAATGACCCCACTGATTATTCAACTGAAGCAGATATTACCCGTATCAGGTTACTTCGTAATGATCGTTTTGCTCACTTACCTAGCACTTCAGTAAGCTCTAATGACTTTGAAAACTTTTGGGTGGAAATAAGCGAACCATTAGTTCGTTTAGGAACAAGGCAGAAAGAAATAGATAGATTGAAAAATGAGTTGTTTAGTAATGAAGAATGTGAAAGAATTTTGAGAGAATGGGATAGATTAAAGAGCGATTTAACTGATATTAAAACTGATCAGAGAGGTATTAAGAAAACAATGGAGGGTGTAGACAAAAATTTACAACAGGTAAAAGATATTGTCACAGTAATTAAAGACGAAGTACATGAAATACGACATCACACTCACTTTGGTTCAGAAGAAGATTTTTTGACAGAAAACCTTGTTAGCTGTAACTTTAAAAGTGAAATTAGACATCATTATGAAAATTTTTTAGAGGGAACACGGGAATGGGTTTTTGATGAGTTTTTGGATTGGTTTGAAGACGACAGTTCTCAAAATCGTGCATTTATTATTTCTGCTGTTGCTGGCATGGGAAAGTCTGTAATTGCAGCTACTTTATGTAAACGTTATCCACAATATTTGACTGCAGTTCATTTCTTTCAACACAACAACAGTCGTTACAATAATGCCAATGTGCTTTTTCAATCTATAGCGATGCAAGTTAGTCGTAAGTTTCCTGCTTACAAACAACTTCTTGAGGAGAAACTTTCAAGTAAACTCTCTCAGCCTTTGAATAACATGAATGTGGAAGGATTATTTTCCCTTCTTTTTACTGAGCTGTTTAATAAGATCTTAGAACTTCCCAAGCGAATGTTAGTTGTGCTTGATGCTCTTGATGAATGTGATTATTCAGAAAGAGATGACCTTGCTAATTTGCTTGCTAATCACTTACAAAAACTTCCGCGTTGTTTTCGCTTTGTAATTACAACCAGACCTAACGATGATGCTTTAAATAAGTTTGAAAAATTAAATCCACTGTACATTAACTGTAGCGATGATCGCAATTTGAAGGATATTAAATTATTGATTGAAGAAAGAATTGGCTCTACGGACAGCCTTTCTGATGTTAAAAACAGTTTGGCAGAAAAAGCTGACGGACTTATGTTGCTTGCATCACTTCTTAGCAGCGAAGTCAAAAATCAGGATTTGTTGAAAGGTTCCATACCAAAAGATCTCAGTGAATATTACAAAACTTGCTTAACAAGATTAAGTAAGGAATTATTAGATTCGTTTCATATCAATGACGAAATGTTTCAGTCAATTTTAAATACTTTAGCTGTTGCTAAAGAACCTCTTCCTTTGGAAATGATCAATAACGTTCTTTGTTTGAATTCGAATCGCGACTCAGTTGCGGTTAGAAAAATTATCTCTTGTCTGTTTGTTACCAATGGAGAAGGATGTGTTTCGTTTTTTCACAAATCCTTAAATGATTGGTTGTTGGATGATCGAAAACATGATTACTCTGTGCAAATTTCTTGTGGTCATCGACTTGTTTTAGAATTTTGTTTAAAATCTTTGGATAACCTCAAAGCTGAAGGTGTAAACTATGACATCATTAAACATGTGACAGTGAGGTATTCTGTCAAGTATTGGTTGCTTCATTTACTTGATATTTCTGGTAATGAATGTATCATTGAAAATGTTGGTAAATATCTTGTTGACTTGGAAGTTTTAGTTGCTTCTGTGTTGGTTGATAGTCGTCGTACTTTAGAAAATTTTAAATCATTCAACGCACATGATGTGTACTTTCTTATTTCTGAGGACATTCGATTGTTATTTAATGAAGTTTATTCTGTAATGACGTGGTCTGTGCACTTTGACAATAAAGTAATTTTTTTGCAAAACTTTGCCAACGAAGTCAATGATCTGTCATTGCCAGCCACCAAAATGCTTCAAACACGTTTCAAAGATTCACCATATCTAGAGTGCAGAGACACGGGTTTTGTAAAGGCTCGATTATTACGTTTATTTTTTTGGTTGAAGTCTGTTGATGTTTCACGAAATCATGATTACATCGTCTGTGGTTATGAAGGATTCGTCGTCCAACTTTTTTCATTGAGAACAAACAGATGTTTATGGATAAAAAATATTTCTTGTCAGTTTAAGCAATATGAAAAGAAAGAATTTTGCGTTGCCTTTCATCCATTCGAAGATATAATTTTTGCTTCCCAGCTTGATAAGATACTAGATATTAATGGTAAAATTTCCTCCAGTCCGTTCCATTGTGATGATTCTACTTTTAAGTTCTTTACCAACAAATGTTTTTCTAAAGATAAGTACACAATGGTCACTATTTACAAAGATACTTTGACAGTATGGGATGTTAAAAAAGGTAAGGAGAAACGCAGTATTAGATGTAATGATGTGGTGATTTCACTGTGTTTTTCTAATTCCGGAAAATATTTGTGTGTTATTGAGAAAGAAAAAGGGATTAAAATAATTAATGTAGCGAATAATTATGAAATATTCGTTTACGACGATCATTTACTGTCTGATGATTTAAGTGAGCTTAATGTTTTGTTCACTGTTGGTCTTCATTCTTGGTGTTGTGGTTGGCCTCCTTTCTCTCAGAGAGAACCTTTCATTGTAAATCCCACTGGTAAGAAACTTCCTTCCCACTTCATTGTAAATCCCACTGGTGAGAAACTTCCTGACTTAGATCCTAATTCTCAAACTTCGTGTTTTCCTCTTGATCCTTTCGATGACAACAGATCTAGCTTTTCCTTTTATGGAGCAGGAGAGTATTTTATTTTGTATAACGACTATGTTATTTTGTTTGAATACGGATATGACTTTTATCTTTATTCAATACCGCGTGCATTTTTTACTAACAGTTACAGTGTTCGTAACGAGAAATTTTGCTCAAATGGAAAATTTCTGTATCGGAGGAATGAAGAAAATTCAAGGATAAACATGTACAATCTTAACACATTTAACTTTGTTGTCAAGGATTGTTTTGTTAGAGACATGGTTGCTGTAAAAAATGGAGTTATTTTGCTTACGGCAAAAAATATTCCTGAGCTTTGGAATAATAATTTGACAAAACTTGTTTATAGTTTTGACGAAATAAAATATACAAACAATATTTTTAAGGTGAGTGATGTATCATTTGCTTGTCAAAAAGCTGATTCTTTTGTGTTTTTCAATGTTGAAAACAAGCGACAAGAAATATCAGTGAATTTTGAAAATTATCGAAATGTGCACGTATTTGCATGTAGCTCTAAGTATCACGTGTTTGCTAAAGTTGAATGTAAGGATCAGATTATTTACTGTATGTGGCATGAAGACAAACTTGTTCATGGTTGGAATGACGTAATTAAGGAGGACTTCGCCAATTCAATCGCAGGAAAAGTCCTTGCAGAATACGAGCGTGATATTACTCTCTGTATATATTACGCTGCTTTTTCACCTTCAGCAGATAATTTATTAATAAATTACAGGTTTCAGTATTTGAAAGTATTTGACGTTAAAAACAAACAAACTATTTATAGTTATACTTTTAACGTACCTACGCCAGAGTTTTTCTCTTTTGTTGATGATAGGTATATAATTAGTAATTACTTAGCTTTAATTGATTTGAAATGTGTTAGGACGGTAGAATTGTTTCTCCCGCTTGTGAGAACATTTCTAACAACTTTTTATTACTGTCGTAAACGCAAACTCGCTTTAATTTTTTCTTCCTTAAAGGTCCCGGTACAATGCGTAAAAATCATCTTGCCACAAGGATCAATTTGACCTTTGATGTGAAAATTCTCACCATTTTTGATAAGGTCTATATTATCTTTAAAAAAAATCTTGTTCAGTTTTTATGCATGATCCCTATCATTGTTGACATCTTAAATAATGTCTGTATGATTTCATGAAGCGAAATTTGTCTAATTTTGATTGTTTTGTACAGATACCGCAGTGTACGATAATGTCAACATTGAGAGAGATCATGTATAAAAGCTGAAGTTAAACAATGAAAGATGAAAATTCAATGACAATAAAGACAAACCCTTAACACAAATGATTTCGTGTCTAAGATAATAATTTTCCTTGCACAAGAAAGTAATTTTATTGACTTTAGTCTTATCACACATACATATAAAATGCAAACTTTGTTAGTTATTGTACCATTGGTTATATTTTGTTTATATCTACACCATGTAAACAAATAATTTTTATGCAAATGTATTCAGTGTAGGATTGTTTTAATATTCCACGTTTTTCGATACTCTTTTACACCAAAAACAAGTTGTTACTAATTAAATCAATACTATCTTGCACTGAAATAATTTCTTAATACTTTTTAATTATTGCATCTTGATATACAAAATATCTATGTATTAAGTTGTTAAGAGACAAAGACAGCCCAATTGTTACTTCGGTTATATGAATATTTTCGTCTTTATCAATTTGAAAAACGTAAATTTTTAATAAAACAATGGTACCAGGATACAGCTAATTTTTTCTCGAAAAACTAAAAATTTGGCTGTCTTTCTCACTGACTGTTAAAAAGTAAATCGTAAACTCCTCTAGAAAATGACTTCATGATTGACGTTCATCATCGTGATAAACAATTTGACCATTGTGATTGAGCACTCCAAACTGTATAGACAGGAAAAGTTAACAAAAGTCAAAGAAAGTTTTGCAATATAGAGAGACATAAAACAAACGACAATGTTGCATATGGAATGATACTTAATGACAAGTTTTTAACTTTTTGAAAAATCCATGTCAAAGATTTTTAACGTTTAAACAGTTTTACTTTAAAAATCAGTACTTTTTGGAAATTGTTTTTAACAGCATCAACTCAAGCATCAGTGGACATATTGCAAGTTACTTAGGCAAAGTTTGATGTGTTTATCGCTTGTGTATATAATTCCATCGTGTACTCTATATTCAAACAATAATACAAGAAGGAGAACTTCATTTAAGGAAGTGAAGTAATAAAAGAAATGACAAATTTATATACCATGGTTCTCTGTGGATTTATTGTTGTACTTTGTATCGTCACCCAGGTCACGTGTTCATCTAAATGTCATCTGTTGTCAAAATTGGAAGATATGAACTTTTACATTTTTAAAATGGTGAAGCTGGCTGTTCACTTTGTTTACTTTATTTAAAACTGAAAAGTGAAAATTATCAACTCATGTGGACGTTTTGATGTGAACTTAACGCATAAGTAATCCTGAGAGCGAATAAAAAGAACTTGATTTTACTACATTGTGGCTATTGGAGATGGCTAAAGGGATTTTTTTTGCTGCATCTATAGTTCAAGCTGCTTCTTGATACGAACACACTATCATTGGGAATATTATGACACTCGATTGCCTTTGCGCATGCTCTGATATATATATGTACTTGAATGATACTATAACATTTGTGATATGATTTAAGATCTCAACAGCAACATGTCATGAAAATTCAAAGCAAAGGTCAACTATGGATGGTTGTAGAATGAAAGTGATCAGTTTAGTTCATATAAATGGTCAGCAAATCATTCACAACAAAAGTAACTTCAACATGTAAGAACTACATCAAATAATGGGAATGAAAAGTATGGAAAAAATTCAACGTCTTTCTTTTTGAAGATGTCATTTTTCTATATCCACTGTGTTTTGTTTTTATGTAAGGAACAATTTTAGATCGTTAAATTTATTACATATTGTTTTGTATATATCTACGTATAATGAATAAATATCTTTCATAACAACTCATAAACGGACATCTACAATAAGCAGACATTAGGTCGTGGTCTCAAGGATGTCCGTTTACGAGTAGCTTGACTGTATGCACACTTTTCATTACTGCACTTTTTCTTTACGTTTTTAGATTATTCTTTTGCTTTTTAAGTTTTAAATGCTAAATAAATGAATCCCACATAACTCAACACCCTTCTTCAGAGTAATAGTACTTTGCCAACTGCAATGTGATTATCACTGGTGCTTTAGAAAAGGAGATGTCGTATCTTGAATTTAAAAATACCAATTTTTAAAATAAGCATTCAATAGTTGCATAATAACTTTCACTCACATTCAGCAACATTATTTGTTGGTAACCGTCATTTTATCGAAACAGAACCATTGCAGTTGCCATTTTAAGGAGTGGTTGGGATTCATTCATTTAGCACTTGCAAAAAATTATTTAGAAAAAAACTTTCTTTTTGCTCAGTGTTTTGGCCGCGATCCCGGCAACATCCTGCTCAGCAGAAAGATCTTTTAGCGCTCTTCGTCGCTTAAAAACCTATCTTCGAAGTACAATTGGTCAAAAACGGTTAAACAGCATTGCCCTAATCAATGTGGAAAGAGCCTATGCAAATAGTACTTTAAAGAACGACATGGAAAAGATAATTAACATTTTTGGACAGCGACGTAATCGTAAATCTTATTTCTTTTAGTCTTAGATCGTCGCACATTTAACTAACTAAATTTCTTCTGCGTCTAGTGTTATATATGACAAAATTTCAAATATCAAATAAAATGTAGTTACTTTCGTAGCATCCTCTTAGCAAATTGTAATGATTTTAGCTTATTAATTGAGATGGCCAGAGACAACATAAGAATATCTATGACGTCATATGACGTCATATAATTCGGGCAAATTTAGTCCAGCTCCCCCTAAAAATATGTGCCCGTACGCCTATGTTTGTTCAACTTTTTTTTTAACACATATCAACATAGTTTTATTATATTAGTATGTTAATGTAGGAAATAATTGTTGTATAAATATGTTTTCTACAAAATTGTTACAATATATGTGTGTTGATCTATATTTAGTTTCTTAAATAGTTTTCACATTTGTCCACTACACCAAACCTATACTGGGACTCTCGGGAAATTAGGCTAACTTTTTCCTGATAGAGAGTACATTAAGTGTTTTGTTAGATAGGGAAAAAATCATAAATTTTCACAACTCTTCAATAAAATCAATGTCTTTTTTGGGGGGGGGGAGGATTGGCCGGGAAAATTTCGTTGCAAAATGCTATGATTGACCACAGCAATTTAGGTTGACTTCGGAGTGTTTTCTTAGTTCTTTGCTATTAATATTTGATTTTCGTCGCTTAATAAGCTCGAGAAACGTTTTTTCAGTTTTCGGTTTGGTGGCTGTTTTATTCCTTAGGATATTAAAATGAGCGGGCAACACCTTTTCACTTGTTTTACTGTTAGGAAAGCCTGCATATATTTCAAGTCATATGACTACTAATGAACCTATTGCAATTACTATACACAGCACCTATATAACAATACAACTAATTGTATAAATAGACATAATTCGAAGGTTGATTTGCCGATTTGAATCGTTTGCAGGATTCCAAATCTAAATCAAACGACTTTCATGCACATCATTAGTCTCCTAGAATTTAGTTCGGAAAAATGCATCAGAGGGACATGGTGATCAGAAATTAAATTTTCAGAATAAACTGAATTTTATAATACTGTTTTTTGATACATCCCGTATTTGTTCCTTTTTGGAAACACCCCATAGAATGTATATATGTACGAAAAGAATGGTTCACAAGGTGAGATCATCTGCTACAATTACATCTTTTACACGTAGAATCTTATCAATTTTCTTACATTAAATTTGTAACAAACAGATAATTTATTCTAATGGCTTAATAATTTAATATGTAATTATGATTAATAAGAATCGTACATGTTGACAGGAGCTATAATTAGGGATAAAAGTTGTGAGAAAACAACAAAAGAATGTTCGTAGAACTTAAAAGTGTTTGATGTTACTTAGGCCTTGTTCAAACTTCGAACTTTGCATGAACCGAAAGCACTTATCGATCTTTTAATAATTGACTAACACTTATCTTGGAGGAGTAACACTGATAAAATTTGCAAAAAAGTAGCAGCTGGTATCTCCGCCCTTAGAAAATTAAAGCAATACACAGACAAACAAACACTTATCTCTATTTATAATGCCCTGGTACATCCTTACTTCACATATTGCTGTGAAGTTTGGGGTGTATTGGGGGAAACTCAGTCCAAAAGACTACAAAAACTTCAAAATAGAGCTGCAAAAATTATCTCAAGCATGGGCATTGATGTCGATTATTGTAACGCATTACATGAATTGAAGTGGGAACCTCTTGAAATACTTAGAAAAAAAGCTAAAGCAAAGCTGATGTTTAAATTATTAAAAAATACTGGACCAAATACACTTACAAGATTGTTTACCTATAAAAAATACATCACTGATTACAATCTACGCAATATTACAAGTTGTCTAAATACTCCAGTCAATCTACGACCAAAAACACTCTAAGCTTGAACATATTTCCACAAAGGAAATTCCAACTGATTTTGGTATATTTGATATCCCTTTACAACATATCGAAAGTCCCACAAAATCCTAGCACGGCAACATCGTGTAAATTACGTTTTATTTGAGGCATTTGGATTGAAAATCTGAGCGACATGGAAACGAGGCTCAAAAATTAATGTTTTAGATTTTATCCTTTTAGAACACTTAGTAAAGCACAAATATAAATATTATAGATTAAAAACAAGTGGATGATGATAATTTGTAAATTAATTAATATTTTCTCCTTTATTTACGTCGAAAGTGCTGATCTTGCTGTTTTGGGTACTAATTTTCGCTGACTTGGTAGTTTTTTAGACAAACGCGTGTTTGAAGTACGTTTGTTTACGTATATGTTGCACGTGTTTAGATGGATATTTATTATATTTAATGTGACTTCCCTTTCAATACGTCAAATTGAAGCTTTGGCTCATTATTGGCATCAAAATGTGACGTTTCTTTGTTCTCCTCAAGGTAAGCAAAATAGATAACTTGAAGACAATGAGTTAATGAATGTATTATTTAATTGCTATTACGTTTTACAATGAATGAATACGTCAATATTTTGGGTCACAATAATTTAAGTTAAAACTAACAAGAGGGGGCTATAATTAGCGACCTAATTACCAAATACAATGTTTGCATTATAATACCGCGTTCAAAGCCATAGATACATTAGGGCTGTAAAATATCGCGAAAACCAGTAAATAAAACCAGGCTTTTTTGTGTTGTCGAACACTATTTTGCTTGTGAATCATTATAGGATGGATCAAATTCTGCGTCAGTACTGTGCAATATGTAAAGAATCAATTGTGAACAACGGGGTGGCTCCAACATCTAAAGGGATAGATGGTGTAAACCGAGCTAGTAAAGAAAGAGGCGATACAGTTGACGTCCGTGAAGGTGACAGCGTTCACATAGCATGTAGGAAACGATACACAAATCCATCTTATATTTCTAAATCGCTACGTCAGAAGGAATAGCGTCATCCCGTACCAAGAACCCTTCGCTCACAAAGTTCAGTTCAGTTTGATTTCAGAAGAGATTGCTTGTTTTGCGGAAATGAAATTAATCAAGAACAAGAGCGCAAAAGGGGGCGTGTTGTTTGCACTGTTAGGACTATGGACATTCAAGACACTATCTTGAATGCTTGCAAAGTGAGATGCGATGACTGGGCCGAGTCATTGGCATCATTCTTGAACACAGCGAACAAAACAAAGATAAGTCCCAAAGTCGACAGAAAAGAGATATGGATGATACCATGCTCATACTTAAAACGCTTGCATCAGAAGGAAAGAATCCATTTATTCAAGAATCAGTTCTCAAGAATATAATGACAGGTGAAACGCAGATGATCCCGTTGATGTTGATGAAGCTCGAAGTAAAGAAGAAAACATATTGTCAAAGATGGCTGGTACAAAGGTATGCGACTACACATTTACACGTAAAGATCAGGCCATTACTCTTGCTGCAGGCTCATTAGTAAAGATAAACGGAGTAAAAGTACATGTTGATCCACAGCTTCTGTTTCAGAGGTTAGTCTTTGCATGTAATACCGTTGATGATTTAGAAGAAGTATTTCAATACGGGCTTTGTAGTTATCCAGCAGCCTTGTTCGATTCCCCGCTAACGTTGCGACAGCCTCAGAAGTCTAATCTTGCAGACACATTGTGGGAAATGCTGTCACCTGATGCTAAGGCCGGCCCGGTCGGCGAAACCAAATTCGTCATTGATGGAGGAGCTCTTCTTCATCGCGTACCATGACCAAAGAAAGCAACCTTTCAAGAACTGTGCCAGAAGTACTGCCACTATGTAAAACAGAAATATGGGGCAGGAAGTTGTATTGTTTTTGACGGTTATGATAACCCATCTACTAAGAACATGGCGCAACAACGAAGATCATCCGGAAAGGTTGGGGCAACAGTGTCATTCGAAGCTGACATGAAGATAACAATGAAAAGAGATGTATTCCTGGCTAATATACACAATAAGAAACGACTTGTAACTACTCTTCGAAATTATCTAGATTTGAATGGCTGTACTACACTCCAAGCCGATGGCGACGCTGATCTTCTCATAGTAAAGTCAGCTGTTTCAAATGCCATGAAATCTCCTACCGTTCTTGTTGGAGATGATACAGATCTTCTTGTTTTAATGTGCTATTACGTGAAAGTGGATGAGGGATGTGGTCTTTATTTTCGTCCAGAACCAAAGAAAACAACTAAACGTAGAACGGAAAGAGTATGGAACATGAGAATAGTGAGATCAGAGCTGGGTGAATCTCTGTGTAAAAACATTTTGTTTCTTCATGCTATTCCTGGTTGTGACACGACATCCCGGCCCTTTGGCCTTGGAAAATCGCCACCTCTTAAGAAATTCACAGATTCAAACTATGTCCGTGAACAAGCATCAGCATTTGAAGTTTCAAACGTCAGCATGAATACGGTTATCCAGAGTGGTGAAAATGCCTTGGTCTGCATGTATGGAGGAAAAAAAGGCGAGACTCAAGACAGTTTGCGCCACAGGAAGTACTACGAGAAGGTGTGCACTAAAGGCCGAATGGTAGAGCCCCAAAGTCTTCCCCCAACATCTAGTGCAGCCAAGTATCATTCATTGAGAGTCTTTCTTCAAGTTAAGCAATGGCAGAGTCAAGACGAAGGATTGTTGATTGATGCATTTGGTTGGAAAATGTGTGGTTATGTTATCGTACCTAGAACAACTGATCTTCCAGCAGCTCCTGAAAACTTGCTTAATATGATACGATGCAACTGTACCACAAATTGTTCAACTGCAAGATGTACCTGTCGTAAAAATGGACTTCACTGCACAATGGCATGTGGTCAATGTAGAGGTACTGGTTGCACTAACAGTGGTGTTGATGTTGAAGATGATTTACAAAAGTATGAAATGACAGACATGTCTTTGTAAATCAAAGTACACTGTATCAACCATATGTAAATTTAGTGACACTCTTGTATTACTATGTAACCTAAAGGATTCCTTTTTTTCGGTCGTTGAAGGCTTAACATGATTTTTAATAGCCACGCTTCAGATTTATATAATCAAATATGATATTCGTTAGGTCAAAGCAGTGTTATTTTGTAATTCTTGTATATAGCCTCGTTTTCATGTCATAATTTCACAGAAAACATTATTTTAAACGAAGTTGCCAGCCTCAGATCATGTGGGACTTTTAATATGTTGTTCTGTACAAGAAAGGAAAGATATTTTTGAAGAGTGAGCTTTTGTGGGAATTAGTTCAAGGTTCAACCATAAATCTACTGGACTAAAATGTTCCTATGCCTAGTACTAACTCCTTGAAGAAAAGCTTTGCGTATGATGGGGCTTCTGTTTGGAATTCAATTCCAGCAGAAATCAGAAATAGCAAAAGCGTGTCACTTTTTCAAAAGAAAATTGCTGCTTGCATTTTATGATTTAGTTTAACATGTAACTGATTGAATAAACTAAACTCTGTAAATATTTAAACTTCTCTTCTGTAGATAAGTTATTTCTTAGTAAATTTTGTAATTGTTTTTGAACAAAAGCACGCCCCTTGTGGAAATCAACCCCAGTTGACAAGGCCAGCGTGTCAAATTAAAGATTTTCATTCATTTCATTCATTCATTCACAAAAGACAATAAGGAAACTCATCTCATTTTCTTTTATCTTTAATGCGTTCAGTGCATGTAAAGTTCAACGTTTAAAACGGGCCTTAGATTGAAATTAAAAGACATCACAAAAACACTTCAATCTTGAAGGAGAAGTACATTTATATTTTTTGATAAGCATCCTGAACACCATGTGATTTTTTTTTATTATGTCTAGAATTAATTAAAATTTTGTTGTTAGTCATGATTTCAGGACTTTCGTACCGGTTTGAGGAAATGGCACATTTGTCATGTTGTTCGTCATGGTCATTTTACCCCAAAACAGTTGAGATTACTTCCAATAAATGAAGTGAATACAAACTCTTAAACGCGTTTTCGACTATAGCACCATACAGTACTTTCTATCTGATTTTCTCCTCATGGAATGTTTGGGTGTCAAGGAGAAGCGTCTCCCTTTCAAATTTTGCTTCATTTCATTATGGGTTAGCCGTTAGCAGTTAGCATTTGATATTCAGACATAAGATTGAGTTTATATGAAATGTAACAAATTGGATGTTTCTTAAATTTGCCATGAGAGCTTAGCCCAATATCGACAACCTCTTTCCCCATTTCCCCCGTATGTTCAAAGTTCAGTTAATTTTTCTCGTGTCATGGGCGTGTATGCTACTGGACGTAAGTAAGGAACCAAGGCTGTTATACAGCGCGAAGCGCCAATGGTGGTATATCGATTACAGCCAAGACTCTATAAAAGTCCTTGATTAACATATTATACGATGGAAAACGTTTTCCAGAAAGACTCATCTGATTATAGTTGTGCAAAAAATCGATTGTATATCGAAGGTAATTATAACATAAACATAATACATGAAAGCATAAACAATAGAGAAGTGTACATTAGTGCTTGAGTCAAATGAGTGATGAATCCTAGAGGTGTTTGGTTTTCTACTTTATTTAAAATTCATATTTTTGCATACTGTTTTCATGATGGCTTTGCTTCCATATACTTGTGTTTTATTTGAGCTGCGTCTTTGCTTGTTATGGATGTCTGAGACAGTGGCCAGGTATGAATTTTTTGGAGGTGCAACTTTTAAACATTTCAAGACACGATTGACTCTGAAATGAAGCTCTAACAGCACAAGATATGGATTCAAACGTAAAGCAATTAAAATCATTCATCGTAAATATGGAAGTTAAAGTTTAAAGTTGCTTGAGTATCATTCACTATGGCGTTGTGAAATACAATGTTTTTCTATTGGGCAAGAACTTTTCTTTTTGAATTTGTGAAGCCAAGTGTACAAAAATATGAGATTAAATCAGTTGACATTGGATCCGACATGTAAAGAGCAGAATAAGAAGCTTGTGGGGTGTGTGAAATATTTTGTCGTGGATCTGAGGAAGATGATGATTATTCAAACGTGAGTGAAATATAAATTTAAACCAAATTTAGGTTTAAAGTGTCATTACCCAACTAAAAAAATTAAAGCTAACCTTGAAAGATTCATTATTAAAATTATTTCTATAGAAATAAACATCCTGGTTAAAAATAACCAGGATGGGGTTAAATTTTAACCAGGAAAGTATTCCAAATGGGACCGAGGCAATCCTGGTTATTTTAACCAGGAATCGGGGTTAAATTAATTAACCCTTATTCTGGTTAAATTCAACCACGAACTAATGTTGAAATTTTGACACTTGTCCCGGTTAAAATTAACTAGCTGCCATGTTAAATTCCTGGTTGATTCTTAGTGATTTATTGAGAGAGTATATTTATGCTCAAAAAGTATATTTGTTTAAGAAAAAACATTGCGCGGACACAACTTACATTTAGTAAAAACTAAAAACAGAAGATAGACAAGTATCATGTATATTAACAACAGGTACATGCAATAGCTGGAGAAGCTTAGATTTATATCAATATATTTTTAACGTCAATGGTCTGATTACTTTAATGTTGCTCTCATTGCAACAACAGCAGGTGTAGTCTTCTGTTTTCCATGGTCCTCAATGCCATACAAAACCTTTTCTATAAACTCCCACGACGAACAGCTCTGCCAAAGGTAATTAACATCAAGTACGTAAAATAGTTTAAATTAAACATCAATTTCCCTCACAAGATTAGGCGGCTCCAAGCCCTGGCCTCCGATTATAACGAACACTTGCGTTGGGCTGCATTGAATACCAATTGCTAAAACAAACGGCCATCTTGAGGCTGTTTCTAAATATTTAGGTGTGTTTGTACCGACCTAAAAATAATTAAACAGTATACTTGAGACTTTTACATCAAATACATGAGTTTGATTATGCGACTACTTATATGCAGAGCTAATACCGAAATTTTTGAAAATGGTGATGATCTAGCATTTTGTGCAAAACAGTCCATGCATATATTGTCTTTTGTCTTTTTTTAAATAATTGATAGTTGTCACTGTTTCATAGGACTTAGGGAAAACTTTCTCAGGGAAAAAAATGCTCATGTTTTCAAACATTTTGCTGACAACAGCACGAGACAATGCTATAAAGTACCAAAAATCAACAATGCATGGTTTTGTTATATCTTTTTTTGCAATGGCAGCAATCTTGCTTTAAGGCGGGGGGGGGGGGACATATTCATGTACTCATACATCAGTCTAATTTCTTTTCAAAACAATTTCCCTTTCAAAAGAAATCAGGACGGCATGACAGAATATAAGAATATGGTCCCCTTTAATTAACAAAGGATTGACGCCCGTGCTTTTTTGACAAATTCGTATTAGGTACTGTGAATAAGTTATGAAAAGATTTTTGACGGATACCGGTTGGCAATCGATAAAAGCACATAATGCTTCATCAGTTGTACACCTCTTTTTATTCTTTCTTCCAGTAGGAAAAACGCATGGAAGGAGACAAATCGCAGCATTTCTTTTCTCTTCATCTATAAAATAGTTTATAAATAAAAGTCAGTGTTTTAGGACTTTCAATGAAGAAAGTATTTCATGTATCACATATGTTTCATGCATCATGTAACCGTTTTCGCAATTTTTACCGGAATTCAGGTTTCTTGTTGCAATATTCAAATATTTTGTCCATTTTTCTGTTTGTGTATCTGCGTAACAAATTATTTTCTCTTCTGTTTCTGGTGTAAATCGCAGAAAAAGATTATCCGCGACATCTGGATACAATGTTGCAAAGTCTATTTCAACCTGAATAAATTTTTGAAAACATTTGGTTAGCCGTACAAGATGATGCATAACGAAAGAACGTTTAAGAATTTTCCTTACCATGCCAGGGACATTAATAAGACGTGGGTATTCTTTCATAACCTCTCGTATTGTAAGTTGTGGCGTTTTTTCAATCCATTCTGATCGATTTAAGACGGTCTTCTGCATATAACTTTTTAGGGTTGAGAAAGGCTCCCAGTTGTCTTTCATCCACTGCTTCATTCCAGCATGGTCAGATTTATTTAAGACTGGCTCTTTTTAAGAAAAAAAAAGCAAATTTTCTACAAGCACCATCAAATAAACTTCTAATATCTTTTTAATTGACGAATTTAACCTGGTAGAGATCTTGCCAAGTGTTTTAAAGAAGTTGAAGTTGAGGCAAATTCTTGTTCAGTCTGACGGTGTTTTATGCTCTTTCTCCTAACATTTCTAAGCCGTTCTTCCAACCACTCTGTAGCAGAATGAGTTCCCTTTCCTGGCGTGTACCAAGCTTCCTAAAAATTGAAAAAGCGATCACGTACAAGAAAGAAACAAATATTTGTAAAATACATCATTTTATTCCAAATCAAAAGTTAAACGTAATGAGAAACGCGTAGATATCCTTGACCCTCTTCGTCTTTAAGGAAAGGAAGCTGCTCAACCACTGCCTTTTCCATTTGGATTTTGATGTCTGCATGAGGCCTGTATTTTTGAATTATTTCAATTTTAACTTGGATCTTGAACAATTCAGAACTTTTGCGGTAGCGTGCATGTGTACTTATGACGTCATTGGAAATGTAATAAATGTCAAATTTCGGATTTTCAATTTCACATTATGATAATTTCATAGAAACATTTTGCTTACTTCCTCTAAAAATTTTACCTTTTTCTAAAAAGTACAAACATTTACATGTTTCTCTAACACGATGCTTCATTGCTAAAATCTCATTTTACTATTGCGTTAATTTGTACAACTCTTCGATTTTCTATTTTTACGATTTTTTACTGTTATGATGACATCATAGGTAGACTTGCATGTTGCAGTAAAAGTGGTGAATTTAGTCTTTCATATTTTCACAAACCTTTCTCCAAACTGATTAATTATGTAAGCCACTAGTATCTGAACCATCTTGATTCTGCTTTTTCTGCTTAATTTATCCGTATCCAGTTCGCACATCACTTGAGCACCAACTTCGGACTCTTCCAAAATCGATTTGTTATTCTTAAAAAAAAAGAAAAAGATAAAAAAGTGTATTTGATGTTCAATTGCTCTACAAGTGTTAATGCTTACAAAATCATTCCTGGGTTTCTTTCTCGGTTGAAAAGTTTGAGCCCACAGCTCTCAAATATAGACTGACTTGCTGCTACTGAACGCTTTGCCTCGTTTTCTTTTGGCTGACAAGTAAACTCAGGACTTGAAGATGCCTATATTGGATAAAATAAATAGCATCAATAGAAAGTTTATATTGTTCAATTTAATTTAGTGTTTAATGTGAATAATTGAGTTGGCTTGAGTTTAAACCATTTTTGTTAACTCTTCAAATTATGTTACTCAAAGCAATTTGTTGTTTTGAATCTCGTAAAAGGTGGTAAAAACACCTAAAGCCAATAATATCTCATGTTTCTTTGTACGTACAAACTTATCAACACTTTGAAAATCGGTATCGAAAAAACAATATGTGAATGAAACTATAAAAAACTGCTTTTAGATGCTTGTACTCTGTTTGAAATTATGGTTGCTAAGGCGTTGCTAGGTAGGCTTTCGTGTACCGATTCAACTGTCCAAAGTCAGAATTAAGATAGCATTGGTATACCTGAAATTTGATATTTTTCAATAGTTAGATTTGTGGTCCAATAGGAATCCTCATCTCCTTCAAGGTTTCTTCGCTTAAAATGAGAAAGGCCTCCTCGTCAATCATATTTTCTAAAAAAATGCAATTCGAAAAACATCCGTTTCAAGAACAAAAAGCTAAAAAAACAAAAAAATATAGCTAAAGCTAAGTACTAAATAATATAGACACTTCATTTATTTACCTTCAAAAACATCTTTCAAGCAGGAAAGATTCCACTCTTCAAGTTTTTCTTTAACCCAATTGTCCATAATCTTTTTTTGATGCGGCTGAAACTTTGTAGTTGTACTTGTTTCTACAACTGCAAATCGCAATTTGACAATCGATGACATACTTTAATTGTTTCTATATAAATGGAACAAAAGTTATGAGCAATAACGTTAGGAAAACGATAAACTTATCTGTAATTAGCGATTGTATCCTTTTTAGAAGATCCTGTGAGAAATTGTATTATGGATGTGAAGGATTATAATGAATAAATATCCTTCCTAAATTTTTCCGTAGCTTCGCTTGCGACACAGAATAGATACATACAGAAGCGCCACTCAGCGAAAAATCTGTCCCCTACTTGTACCCAGTTGTTAAGTGCGCATCTTTTGCGTCCGCCATTACTCCAGCTAGATAAACTGGCCAGAATGTATATAGATTAATATTATGAAGAGTTGTTTTTCGAAAATTTGACGAATTTAAATTCACTTATGGACAAAATTTTTAATGCCATCGGATAGGATACCAAGCATATGAGGTGAGAAACAGTTTTGTTGTAAAATACGTTCTTCAAATATAATTTTACGGGTTTTATAGTTTCTTGCCTTAAATTGTGTGCGAGATCCATGTTTAGAACGTCTCTTATATTGAACGGCAGTTGCCCTAAGAATTTATAATTTAGGACAAAAGTAATAAATATATTTAGTGTGATTCCATTTCTGTATTTTCTGGTAAAGAGTTTCCTATTAGAATGGTCAACGGATTTGATAGAAGCGATAAAACGACCTACTGTGCGTAAAGAACGTTCTTCAGATGAAGACGTTATTGGTATAAAATTTGGACTAAACTAATTTATTTTATATTTGATTCTTGAATCGGGGCTTTTTATTTGCAATGTAGCTTGTCTGCATAATTGTAATTGAAAGTTTTTATTTGTAATTGTATATTGAGTTCCTGTGGCTATCATGTCTGTCAAATTTGTATTAACTTACAAATAAAGATGTTTTTTGTTGTCTTATTTTTAATAAACAATATATGAAATTACAATTTTTTAAAGAATGAAGTTATTGATAAATTGTTACAATTAAATTAACAAATTTACCATTATGTCAAACATATTGTCAAGCTCCTACAGCTTACCTCTTTGGTTAAACTTCACTTGTGAGTTGTGACCAACAATTATGTGAAAAATGATTAGAATTATGTTTGATTCACCGCATTGATCAACCAGCAGAGAAATTATTGCAACAAAGGGCTCGAAAATTTAATTTTGCTAAAATCCATAAACTTCATTCAGTAAATTAAAATTTTTATTGTAAGTAATCATGTCACAAACAGAACTTATTCTGACAAAAACCAGTTATAGTTACTCTTAATGCCATTATTTAAATCGTAATACTTTACACAGTAAAATGTTTACCAAAAGGTGAAACACAGATACACCAGAAAACTTTTTTAAAACATTTGACAGGGGGAAACTGTGCCAAGCCAACACCAATCCAATTCACAAAAGCATTCAGGAAGCTTTTTTATGTTCTCACATCTCACATCATCAATAAGCATCCATGTCAAATATATAAATAATCTCCTAATTGAATTTAAAAAGGCAGAAATAACAAAGTTAAGTCATGTGGAACATATGGCAGTATATGTTTTACAAATTGCTATTCAAGCACTTTATTGGTGGAGGCCAACATGCTGCTGCTTATGTTCCAACTAGCTCAAAAGTCATTCAAGCTTCACAAGTCACAACTGTGATGAATACAAAATATTTTGGCATCAGATGACTTTCATAGTGGCCATGCAGCATCTCTTCTGATAGTTTAAAACACCTGGGTAGACAATTTTGGTGATTCGAATGTCCTGCCAAACGTTATTTGCAATATATAAACTTAACTGGAGGATAATTTAATTTGTCACTTGTTTCAGCCACGACCGAGATTCCAAATGTTAGAACAAATGTCTTCAAGATTCTCTGCAGAATTCTTATATGATAAAATTAAAACTGACGACAAACCATATACCGAGTACGCATCTCGTCAGATACATATCTGCTTTGTAAATATTCCGAATAAACCCTCATTTATCAAAACGGACGTCGAATTAATGATAAATTGTTGAGAGCTTGATGTGTTAACTGTATCCACACGAAAAAATGGCCAATCTATAGAAATCTTTGGGTTTATTTGCCAAAACCCATCCGTAGAACTATATATTATATTGCGATCTGGCTGAATTTATCTGGCTGGAAACATGGCCGCCGTGTAAAGTTGCCCGGATGCTGTGCGGACACGAACATCAAAGGTTCCGACATCAAGTGGCGCTTCTGTATGTATCTATTCTGTGCTTGCGACAAGACGTACACAACTGGCTAACTTGCGCATGCGTACGCTCTCTCGTACAACTCTGACACGACCATAGCTGATGACGTAGTAGAATTATCGTCAAATACCGAAGGGTGCTCGCTCGTGTCATGTGACTGTTCATTGAGCATTATCGTCGATTATCGTTCGGTTGATTATTGTCGTTCGTGGTATTACTAAATGTGACTTTGTATTTACCTGCTTGTAATTCGAAGCTTCTGGCTTTTCATATTCTTCCAGAGAAGATTTTGGTATTACAGTTATATTCAAGTCTATAATTCTGTGAAATGGTTGGTGATAATCAATGATGTAAACAATGTCATATTTTGATTTGTGGCGACAGTCAGGCAATAATTTTCTCATCAACTGAATTTCGTGGTCCCAATGGCATTCTTTGAATAAGCTATGCTGCTTTTTGTCAGTACAAAGTGTTTGAAGATAATAATTGACGATGTTATAATCAGTTATAATCATGGAAATTTTTTATTATATTAGTTGAAAGTTTATTTATTTCAGAGGGTTGTTTTCCTAAATGATTAGGTTCTAATGCCCTGTGAAGCTAGTTTCAGGCCAAGTACCTCACAGGTCTCGAATACAAGGGTGGCCGAGGATTGATAATAACTAGTAAGATGGAACAAATATTGATAAATGCCTGTTTTACTGTGTTAGTTTCTATTGAAATCAATTGCCATTAGAGATTACATAACAAAAATATATGAATTTTGGCATCAATCAGTTATCAATCCTCCATTGCCCTTACTGTAATCACAGTTTATACTTTATCAAGCATGTAGTGTGACTCTATCATTCAGCTCTTCCTGTGTGACTTGTCTACAAAGATAGTAAATTATTAAAGTTGTTGTGCATTTCAAAACTCATATAAATTGTCATGAATATTTATAGCTTTGAGACAAAGTGTTGTGCTTTTGGAGATTGTACCTAGTATTAAGACAAACACTACTTACCATGAAGACAGTGTATTTTAGAATTGAGATGAAATTATATTTTGTGAAACTATATTAAATATATTATTGTGTTTTATAGTCAAGTGTCTGTCTATTTAACTGTTCTTCTCTTAGCTTCTCAGACCTCTATCAAGACCAGGCTCTTATGGGTAATGTTAGTTTGACGACAATTCTCTTAGGTCTGCCATCACAGTTTATAAAGGCTTAAGCATAGACTCGAAACGATTATTTTCCTCTTGCTGCGTGACAAGTCTCCCAAAATTGTCAATTTTTCAGAGGGTCAATCATTCCAAAATTATTGTTTAGATTTCCATGAGTAAATTTATAACTGTCAGGTACAAAATAAAGTGCTTGAGGAGATTGCCACTGGTATTTGGTGCAATGACTTAAAACACTTACAACAATCATAATTGTTCAGAAATACACTGATTATTTTTAAATATTGTAGCCAACACATGGTTGTTTGCTAACTTTTAAATTTCAACACCAACAAAGCTGTATCGTTGATGAATGCAGCTACTAATGTTATTAACTCTGATGGAAATATACTTGTACTTTAGAATTCTCGTCACTAGTTTTGATTAGTGGCGTAGCCAGCTCGCAAGTTTTGGTCCTGCTATGTAAATTTTAGATCATTAACATTATTCATTTCTTTGGAAATCTTTTGTTTTTACAGTAAGTGACCACAGAAAAATTAACATAGCAGGACTAAATTTGAGGGCTGGCTACGCCACTGGTTTTGATTTAAATCTTTATTAGATTAAAATATGACTTTTTCACTAAAACTTTATTGCCTAAGTTCAAAGTGTCGAGCGGTTCTCGTACTTCTCGATCAGCCATTTTTCTTTCCCCATTTCATGAAAGCTTAACAAAGCAGTTGCTCTCAATCTCAGATGACAGAGTTTTCTTCGTTATTTATCTCAGTTGGCCGTCAAACCCCGGAATTCGCACAGGGTTGTTTCCTTTGCTATGATCAAACGATCAAAAGAAGCGTACGTATTCTCAACTAATTATTTAAGATCAATGGAGTTTGTCCAGACTAGTGCTTCGTTTTTATCACTAGGATGTTGTCATGAGCTGCATGCAATATACTAGTTGTTTTCCCCACTACTTAAACTAATGACAGCATTTAAATAGCGTTTTCCAACGATTGGCATCTTCTCAAATTTTCTAAATATGTATATCGACACCCGAAAAAGTTTTTTTTATTTTTTTGTTTCTGTAAAAGCATTAATGGCGCAAATTATAAACAAAGTTTGACTTTTTCGTCCCGAAAATTAGTGAGCCGCCATTTTGATTTTTCTTAAAGTGGTTATATCACGAATTTTAGCCCCCCTTTTTTATTAGCTTAATTGAAAATTTGGATTATTTGAAGAACCATGACATGTCGCTGGACTTAAACAGATAAATATAAGTTGCTTAATTTTGCCTCCAAAGTCGGGTACTATTTACGAATTTTTTACGACGCCATATTGATACTTGTGACGTAGATAGTTGAACACGTCTGTTTCCGTCAATATAATATTATATTATAGAAGGTGATTTTGTTGTCGTTTTTCTTGTCTTAAAAACAAACAATGACAGTATTTTCAATAAAATATTAAAAAACAAGTTTTCCGGAAAGTATGGCCTCAAATCAGTGCTCAGATAATTCGAATTCGATGTCTGAATGAGCATCTGATTCGAGCTCGGAATCCGTGGGTTATGTCGAGCATTTAAACGACTTCGCATATGAAGATGAACCGCTAGCAGGAGATGGTGATGAAGTGCATACTCCAGATGATCCCGATGGAATTCTCCCTGCGACATTAGAACAACGAAGTGATGGCGTAATTCCACTTGGTGAATGGTAAGTTGTTGTTTTCTCCTGTTTGTAATATACATAAAGTTACTTTATAAACCAGAATGCTCCCACGTTTCAGGTGTAATTGTTAATGCTGTTATACCGATTTGTTAGAAGGCGCATTAGAGTACAGATGCTGTAAGGAAATTGGACCAGCTTT